GCTGGGACCTCACCAAGCCTGGCTCAGAGCAGGGCTGAGCTGGGCTTCCCCCGCTAACGCTCCATCAGCCCCCTGAGCTCTCCCACCTCCAGATCCCAGGAGGAAACTTCCCCGAGGGACGGCAGCGTGGGAGCAGACACTGACTGCAGCACCCACTGGCTGTGCCTGATTGTCACCCTCCCAGGGGGTGACAGCCACCAGCCTGGGAAGGATTGTTAGCACTGTGAGGGTTGAGACACTCAGACAGGGAAAGCCAGTGCCAAAACCAGCTTGTGGGCAGAGGCAGAAGGTGGGCAGTGCCCAGGAGGGTCGCTGTGGGAGGACAGGGAGCCCAGGGGAGGTGGGTCCTGGCTGTTCTCTTCCTACAGCTCCACACTCCAATGCTCCACGTCCTGCCAAGCCTCTGCTCCGAGCTCTGAGCGGTCACCCGAGGACAGAGAACAGCAAGGCACCGGGATTGCAACACCAGACAAGCTGCTGGTTGTAACTGTGGATCGGATCCAAACCCCAGCCTGATACAATATATAGTTAATTACAAAATAAATCCCGTTCCCACCCTTTGTAATAAAAAGAGCAGCTGACTGGACATGCATCTTTCTGGCCCTACAAAATAAGGCACCAGAGCTTAAAAATAAAACTCTGATTGTCTTTGATATAAAAGGAATTCCCACGTGTTGAAGGCAGTTGATGTCTGAGTGCATAACAGGGAGTGATCTTCACTAGCTTTGGGTTGGCCCATCTCACTCCTGGGCCCCGGTGACTTTCTGGATCAGGGGAATCTGTAGGAGGGGAAGAGAGAAGCTGTTAGAGCTGGAGGAGGGGGAGGCAGGGAGCAGCCTGCGCTCCGTGGCTGGGGAAGGAGAGGCTCACTGTTCTCCCAGGTTTCAGGCAAGTCCCTGTGCCTTAAGAGACACAGGAATTTCCAGCTGCCAGTGCCCGGCTCACCTTTGTGAGATCCACGCCGGTGATGGCACGTACGGAGGCAGGGATCTCAGCCAGCAGGCGGTTCACCTCGGATGTTGTGCTGCTGCTCTCTCCGCTGAGAATAACTATCTCATCCACTTTGGAGAGGGGAGCAGCCACTTTGGCAGCGATCTGGGGAGACAGGGAAGGAGGGTGGGATGAGCAGAGAGTCCCAGAGCTGCTCAGCAGCCTGTTGGGTCAGGTCCCTGCACACAGCACAGGGCCTTGCTGCGCTCCCAGCAGACCTGGCCCAGCCTGGGAACACCCCACTGTTTGTCTGGAGCAGGGGAAAGCTGCTCCCTCCTCACCTCAGGCAGCGCATCCAGCACTAGAGCCAGCTGGGCAGCGTCCCCGTACTTCTGGAGTGCTTCAGCTTTCAGCTTCATCCTCTCAGCCTCCGCCATCCCAATGGCCTCAATCACAAAGGCCTCTGCTTCTCCAAGCTTGCGGATCTTTTCTGCCTCCGCCTGAGCAATGAGGACCTGCTTCACCCTGGAAAGGCAAACCCAGCCCTCCAGCAGTCCAGATCCCCGCAGCGTACCCAGCACCGCTCCCCTCCCTCCATCAGCCACGTGCCTGCCCCGCAGAGAGCCCACGAGCTGGCTCTTGGCGTGGCACCCACTGGACTTTGCTCCCACCTCACCCCAGCCCAGCGTGCAGCCGGGCTCAGGGCTGGACCAGGTCACGGGCTCACTCACTTCTCGCCCTCGGCGATCTGCTGGATTCGGTAGGCTTCGGCCTCAGCCGGCCGCTTCACGGTGGCGATCAGCTCCTTCTCCATCCGGATGATCTCCTTCTCTTCGACATCGATCTGCTTCTTCCGCTGCACCACCTCGATTTCAATTTCCTCCTGGCGGATCTTCTGCTGCTCCCGGGCGCTCTGGAGCTCATAGGCCAGCTGGGCCTCTGCAGTCTGCACATGGGAGAGATGAGAAGAGGGGTCTTGGCCATGATCTCCTGTGCACAGACATAAAGTCCCTTGGCAGGCTCTGAAAACAGACGTGGCTCCTGCTCTGGACCAAATCTCCACCCAGAGGTGATGTCCCTATCCTCAGAGCTGCACTTGCTGTCCTTCTCCATGTGCTCTTCCCACAGCACTTAAGCCCAAACAGCACTGGGTTCAGCTTGGATGACCCTCCCCATCCTTTCTTCTCCTCTTAGTCCCACCTAAACAGGGCAGGAGAGCATCTGCTGCGAGGAGCTCACACTGTGACATAGAAACCTGAGTTCTCCACCTCCAGTTCTCCTAACACATGCAGGAGGAGGAAGCTGGCAAGTCCCAGAGCTACCAACGCCATCACAAACCAGATAGGGAACAGTGGTGGGCTGTCAGGTACTTCTCACCTTCATGTTGACCTCCTCATTGAAGGCAGCTTTCTGCAATTCAAAAGCCCGTCTGGAATCTGCTATTTTGGTATCTGCCATGAACTTGACATCCAGCATTTCCTTCTTGCACTCTGCCTCCTGCGGAGAGGAAGCAGAGAGCAGAGCTCCAGGACACGCAGCTGGAGCAGAACAGGCTGCTCTGCTCTGGGCAGGCCCAGCACGTCTCTGGACTCACCCGAATGCCAGCATCTCGCTCGGCTTCTGCCACACCGATGTCAGCATCCCTTCGGACAGCCGCGGTCTGAGTCTTTCCCAGGGAGCTCAAGTAATCCACTTTATCATAGACATCCTGGAGAGGTGGAGATAAGTCATAACCACATCAAACCAGGGACTCCATCTTCCTCCCTTCCCGTTGAAGCTCAAAGCAACCATTTGTGTGGGTAGGCCAGGGTCAGAAAGAGCCTGCTGCCAAACAGACACAGGCGTGACAAGGAGAGACGGGCTCTCCTGACACCTTCCCTCCGAGTCCCTGGGTGAGGCTGGGTGAGCAGCAAGCTCTTGCCATGAGCTGTCTTTACAGAGGCAGCTACTGGGTGC